AATTGTTTCTCCTGTTACTCCTCTTTGATGTTTTGGGCTTCCACAAAACATCGCCATCATACTCGATTAGTTCATGTGTTTGTTTCCTTAATTATTGATTTTCTTCCAGCTAAATAAATTATGGACCTGCTATAGCTTGTCCTAGGTAATGGGACGTCCTCTATCGTTGCCTAGAAACAAAGTCATCAAGAATTTTGTGCAGTGGTTGGTGTCTTTGATTATTAAGTATTGACATTTTCCTCTGGGTGGCACTGTTATCTGCTTCGTTAATTATTGATTTTTTTTTTCCAGCTAAGAAAATTATCGATCTGCTTTAACTTGTCCCAGATGATGGGGGTACCATCTACCGCTGCCTAGAAAAAACGTCATCATGAATTGTGTACAGTTGTTGGTGTCTTTGCGATTTCATCTGGAGGGCGCTGTCATTCCTATTTCGTCTTCTCCTCATGTCCAGATGTTGAGACCGATGTTCATTCTTTATAAGAATGTCAGGATAATTCGAATGCTTTTCTTAATATTGAACAAAAAAATTTAAGATAAAGTTTTGAAATTTTACACAATACACCTGGGATAGGTTCACGTTTTCTTATAGCCCCCTTATAACGGTAACTCCCCATGCTCGGTATTTTGGGCAGGGGTTTCACATAGATTAGCAAGACTTCATACCAAAAATTTTCAATATATGGGGACTATCTTACGGTACCTCCAATATTTCGGAATTTTAGGTAAATTTATTACCATATTGGCTATACTATTTTAAATCCTCACTGGATAGGAAACCTCCCTACCAAATATTATCAATATTTGTCCGAGTTTCGCGTAGCTTCCATATAAGTGTCCCGATATTATTCGGAAAGCTACCTTTGATTTTTCGGGTTCCCATTGGGGTTGTAATCTTTCTATCAAAAATTATTAATATAATCTCCATATAACGATAGTGCCCTTAATTTTTGATATTATAAGGATTTCGGTATGTTCAAGGCCATAGCCCAATTTTCCAACTTAGAGTCTGTAGTTTGAAATTTCTAAATTTCTTCAGACAGCAATTTACCATGACATAGTATCCATATAAACGATCCCGAACAATTTTAGGTATTTTGAATATGCTCCTCATGGTATATAAAAAGTTCTGGCCGATCGAACCGCGAAATATTGGTCCTAGACCCACCTTTAAGTATACCGATACCGTCATATCTCGACTAGCTGAGTCGATCCAGACATGTGTGTCCGTCCGTCCGTCTGTCCATTATATTTTGTAAACACGATACTGGCCACAGTTGGTAAAGATCGGTATGAAATGGACCAAATACTTATTTTTGTATCGGTTTTTCTGGTCGCTCTAGAGGCCGCAATTATGACGCAAACATCGCGAATTTTTACATAGAGAAGGATATCAGGCCAAAGAATAAGCATGATTGTTTTAATAAGGATCTGTCAATATTTAGCGGGTCAAATGGACCCTGACTTTTGTGTGAAAAATTACAAAATGTGCATTCTATAGCGTATAGATTTAACCCTGAGGGACAAAGACCCGAAAAGTTGTTGGTATATCTAAGGGCAGTGGTTGACCTTTAAATTGATACCAATTATATGGATGTACTCAGGTGTGGGAGTTACACTTAAATATGTGCAGGTGCTTACGTATTCAGATATTATTTAGTAACCCTTTTCCACACTAAAGGGCGGAAATATAGCGCTGATCGCTTTAAAATATTCCAAGAAGTTCCAGTTATGGTCAAGGATAGCGTCTACAATTTTCGGTGACGATCAGATAATTATATTCTGATGAAGTGGACCGAAAACTTAATTGTTTGTGTTTTTTCGAGTCCATCTATAGGTTCCTATGGGAATAATTTTGCTACCAAATAATATCCCAACTAACCATCAATCAGAACGTAATTTTCCAATAAATTATTACAAACAAATAATAATTACGTCCAGATACAATCCTGCAATTCCGAGATAACCCTCTTTTTATAAATTACAATAAATGATTCCATTATTCCAAAATTGACACCATTAAACCCTGTGCCACCGACAAATCCCGCACAGCTGCAAACAAGAGATTATTTGTCCATCTGTTTATTACCAAATAATAACAGCGCCAACAACAACTACAATTAAATGACAAATTCTAATCAAAAACCAATTAATCAAGACACGGATGGTCTCCTCCAACTCATTCCTCAATATCGGCTTTGGGAAATGTTATTTGGGACAAAATGTTTGCACAATAACCGATTACCGTCATGCCATCGACATTGGGAAAGCATTGACCCAAAAATTCCAATAGCATTGGTTGAGCGGTGACCACAGTGGCATAGTCATCATAGGAGATCACACCATCTTTGTCGACATCGAATTTTTTGAAAAGCAATTCCACCATGTCCTAAGGAAATGGGAAGAGGGAGGTATTTTTCGAGTGTCTAAGGAAAATAAATTCTATACTGTACCGATCTCAGTTCATTAACTTCATCTTCATCCTCTCCCGTAAAGAATTTCTCCACGGCCAAGGTGACAATTTCACGATTCAAGGACCCCGTGTTTCCCACATTGTAAATCTGAAATTTTGTGAATAAAAAATCCATAATATCAATGCTGATAAAAAATGTACTAGGGACACTAATTACAAATCATCTCAATAAGTCTTACACAATCATAGCTCTGAGCATCCCTTAAAATATTTATCTCACACTTCCCGCCTCTCTCACCTGAAACGTAAATTTCATTCTCTCCTCCAGTTTATTGGACATAAAAACCGAAAATAGCTTTACCCATGCTACCGGATCAACTTCCTTCTTCAAATCGGAGGTAATCAGCAGCAAAATCCTCTCGATTATTTGCAAATCATAGACTTTGAAGAGAACCGAAAATAAATGATTAAATTGCTTAACGGTCATCGCTTTGGCCTTGGGGCCATTGGCCAAGACGAATTTGTGATAGACCATCAGAATGCTCTGAACTTCCATTTCGGTGAACTGAGTTTGCTTTGACATTTGCTTGACCAAATCGCGGTAAATGTTATTGAAACGCGTGTTTTGAACATCGTCTAGAGTGGCATCAAGTTTGTACATGACGACCAGAGGAGTCGCTAACAACAAATACAACAACAATGTATTAAAAAAATTATTAAGATTCTTGAAAAGAAAAAACATAAAAAATGGAATTTCGAAGGCTGACTGTCAGAATAAAAGGAAAGGAAAATATAAGTTCGGAGGCTTGTTTACTGGGTTTTCCAATAAGAGGAACAACTTTGTGTCAAAAAAAAAAAAAAATAATTTTTGAGATACATGATTAGATGATTACTTCCAAGAAGAAGGTACGCCGATAATATCGAACAACATCACCATCGTTTTCCAATAGAAGTGACTGTAATTCTGGAAGGTAAAAAAAAAAGTAAGTGCTCACCAGAACTACGACCGACCACAGGCTTCTGTTGATATATTCCAATCGTTTAAAAATCCAAGCATCAGTTGGTCCCCGAAAAAATTGTTTTTTTTTTCATCTAATCTTCTCTTGGTCTCTAAAAAGAAATTCTTTTAAAAATCGACGCTTCCATTGGTCCCTGAAAAACTAATCTTACAAAATCCACTAATCTATGGGTCCTCTAAAAATTAATTTTTAATAAAAGATTCTTTGAAAAATCTACTTTTCTAATGACCATTTAAAAATTAAACCGCTCGGTGGGTTCTGAAAAAATAATCTTAAAAAACATAATCTTTCGATGGGTCTTTGAAAAAATATATTTTTTAATAAAGATTGTGCCAGTCCCAAAACAAGCTCTAAAAAACCCACCGATCCTTTAAAAATAGATCCTTAAAAAATCGACGCTTCTCTTGGTTCCCTAAAAATCAACCTTTAAAAACCCTACGTTTTAATTGGTCCGGAAAAACATATTTTGTTTGGTCCCTTAATTATACCCTCCGCATTATGGCTACTAAGGATATATACCATTTGATGCGGATAAAATGAGCCTCATCAAAATTTTGGTTTTAGACCCCATGTTTCTTTGGACCAAATCCGTTTCAGACAATTTGGTGTCGATTTACCGTCCGGCTGGTGCACACGATAACTCTCGAAGGGTGTAACCGATTTCATCCAAACACGATTTCACATTGTAATATTTCTTCCAAATTTAGTTCAAGTTCAAATATGGGGTATATCGGTCCACTCCTTCTGGTACCTCCACCACAAAATGGTCAAAATTGTGCAAAAAAATAATTTTATAATATCATGAGATCGAACTATCCGATTTGAACCAAAATTTGTACAACCTTTTATCATTACCAAACCTAGATCAAGTTTAAAAATGGGACCCATAAGTCCACTCCTTCTGATACCTCCTCCATAAAGTGTCAAAATTTTCAATATTCATAAATCCAATATCAGGCGAATGGAATATCCGATTTGAATCAATCTTTGCACAACCTATTATCTTTACCTGGCTCAGATCATGTTTGAAGATGGATCCCATTTGTCCACTCCTTCCGATACCTCCCCCACATTGCCCCTAATATTTTCAATATTTATAAAACCACTGAAATGTGAATGGTGATGTCCGATTTGAACCAAACTTTGCACAACCTATTATCTTTACCAAGCCTAGATCGAGTTTGAAAATGGGACCCATTGGTCCACTCCTTCTGGTACCTCCTCCACAAAAAGCTCAAAATTGTCGATATTAATAAATTCAATATCAGGCAAATATAATGTTCGATTTAAACCAAACTTTGTACAATCTATTATCTTTACCAAGCCTAGATCAAGTCCGAAGGTGGGACCCGTCTATCCTCTCGTCTGGTACCTCTCCCAAAAAGGGTCACTATTATATAAACTTGTACATTTTATTTGTATAACCGATTTGATCTGCATTAAAAGCGAAACATATGAAACGATTAATAAAACCTCCTGCGCAAACCATAGGGTGGGGGTATGTACCCTGTCGACAACACCGAATGAGTTTTTTTTTTACTTTTTTTTTTAATTTTCGCCTAAAAGGGCCTTCAAAAAATGCTGCTTAAAAAATACACCCTTGTGACGGAATCACAAAGGACATTCTTAAAAAATCCCGCATCTTTTGGCCCTGGAAAAATATTTTGTAAAATGATTTGTCCCATAATGCCAGAACAGACCCAATTTGTGTTTTTTCTTCTTGATCGCTTTTTTTGGGGGAATGTACCAGCAGAACTGGTCCTATATTATACATACAATGTTGTTCTGTGCTTCGAAAAAATTAAACAATATTACAAATTGCAAATCTTGAAGGTTACTATCGTGCGAACAAGCAATAATTCATTGAGGCGTATTTCTTTGTTGATCATATCAAAGTTTATACAAATTTAATTCCAGTTTCGCGGTTCAAAATCTAAAAATTAAATGTGATAATTTGTTTTCGCAAAATAGAAATATTAGTCGGCATTATAAAAGAAAGTCTGTGCAAAAAATTAAATTTGATAACATTTTTTTTTTTTAAATTTTTGCAAATTGCTATAATTATCACAGTGATGTTAATATTGAAAGATCGATTTTTTTTTATTTTTCAATCCAATTTTACAATATTCCAAATATATACACATAACATTTTGGAGACTTTCAACACACACCTCTCATCTCCTCCAAAAAAAAAATGAAAAAATAGCACAGCATTGTTAACCTTCAATTGTTTTGGAATTATGGCTCTTTAATGATGCTGAATAGGTGATCATAGAAGTTTTGCCAGCTCCTCTCAGTGCTGCCAATCAAAACTGAACAGAACATCTGCATGAGGTGTTAAATATCAGACTACTGCCAAAAAACCAACAGCATTTGAAACGGTCGGAACACGCTCTTCGAAAGAGAAGAAAACCCAAACAAAAAAAATGAAGGCAAACTCAAAAACGATTGAAAAGTTCATGTTGTGGCAATTGAGAAAAAGAACAACAAGAACACAGACAGACAGACAGTCAGGCATTCAGGCATTCAGGCAAGTTCTTAACATTTTAATAAAGTTTTGGGGCTTGGAAAACAAACAAGAAGAAGAAGAAGCATACACAATTTGGTAAATGTTTTGTTTTGCATTACCTCAAAAAAACCAAAGAACCCTTGCCCTCAACAAAAAAAACTACTAGGTTTTTTGCTTCTGTTTTTTTTTTTCTTCTTCTTCTATTCTAGCCAAAAACGCACAGTTTTAGTAGTTAGCGGATGTTCTGAACATTTACAGTTACCGCTAAACTGCAATAACAAATTGCCGTATAACTTCGCCGAAAAAAAAAACCGGCAACAAATTTGCTTTTGGGGGTCTCATATGGCCTGCCGGCCGCCCGCTGTCAAACAAACATGGAATTTAACACAGCAACAACAACCACAACAACAAAAGTCAAGAAATTATGGTTAACAACGCATTTGGCAAGTTTGCCTCAAGTTGCAAGTAGCCTGTGGCTGCTGCCGACAATGCAACCAACCAATGACCTCAAAATCTATTAGCATGTCTGGTCATAAAAAAAAATCGTCGACAAAGAACAAAAAACGCCCAAAAAAATCTATCTCCACGGGCAGCAACAACAACAAAGTTCAGTAGAGGCTGATGATGTTGTTGAATTACAAACAAATTTGTTGTTGCTGCTGTCGATGTGGTTCTGCCGTTTAAATTCTTGACCAGAAATTAATGTCAGAAAACTGTGAAGCATGAGTTTAAATCAACAGCTGCCAATTTGTTTTGTTACATCGACGGATGGCTGAATGGTGTGGCTGGGTTGGCTTGGCCGGGTAGGGGGTTCTTTGGACGCAACATCAACACCAACCTCCATAAGCTTTATGGCCAACAGAGGCAAACTTCTAAACACATTTTGGTTGGTTTGGTTTTTTTATTCTTAGCAAAACATTTTATGAGTTCAAAAGGTCATTTATCTGACCGTCTGTAAAACTATCCGCATGTCTGCTGAGCCATTCCGTGGCTGTCTATCGAATGATCTTTTCGAAGGCGAGCCGAAGATGTAACGAATTTTTTAATAGCGGGTTTGTTCTTCCGACTTTTTTTAAGTATATGGAGTTGTTGTAGGTATGTGTGTGTGTTTTCAAACTATAACTAACCCGAATAATATTTTATACGTACATTGTTATACTAATTTTAGCCACGAAATAATTTCTCCACAAACATGGATAAAATTTTAATTAATTTTTTTCCATAAAAGTGGGTAATTTTTTACACAAAGATGGATAAATTATCCATTATTCACGTTATATATCATTTATTGACCTATATACCGAAGCAACTCATAATAAATAATCCCCTTCCAGTCTCACCAAATGCATAACAGAACCTTCCTAGCCACCGTTTGAGGTGCTTCACCGCTCTTTGACCTCGATCGTTTTCGCACAGTGTTATCTATGTGATCAATTTTTCATCTCCAGTCATCTCTTCCGTTTGGCCAAGGCTTCGCAGGTGGAAATTCGATCCATCCTATTTTTTCTGTTAATTGATGTGGCACCCAAAACATCGAGCTTCTCTTTGAATCCAGCTTTTTGTAAATGATTTAAAACAATTTTATGGTCGATTTTTAGCTCCTGAGCGATATTACGACTGCTAACATGCCGGTCAACTTCGATCATTTCTCCGAATTTATCGACAGATATATACCACTATACCTTATTAATCGCTTTATGTAGGGTATGTTTTTATCAAAGGGGTTTCAGATCAAATCGGTTATTCAATTTCAATTCAACTTAATAAAATTTACAAGTTTATTAAATATTGACCCTTCCGGGGGGGACTTGATCTAGACTTTGTAATGATAATAGATTCGTCAAATTTTGGTTCAAATCGGGTATTCCATTCCATTTTTGATTTAAAATTATTGATTATTTGACCATTTGCGGGGGAGGTTCAAATCGGATAGACCGCACGATTTTGACCATTTTGTGTGGGAAGTCCCATCTTCGGACTTGATTTGGCCTGGGTAAAGATAATAGGTTGTGCAAGGTTTGGTTCAAATCAGGCATTCCATTCGCCTGATATTGAATTTATAAATATTGAAATTTTTGACCTTTTGTGGGGGAGGTACTAGAAGAAGTGGACCAATGGGACCCATCTTCGGAC